TGAGGAAAGAAATGCGCTGAGGGTTGACCGCACTCTCTCCCCCACCGTCAGCAACAGGCCACCGCCTAGCTGAGCGGTCGCCTGAGGTGAGATGGGCGCAGCGCACGTATATGCACCACAGATGAATCAAACGCCATGCATCACTAATGATAAGAGCATGCAATGTTCTTTGTCAGTCCTTGTGATGGGCAAAATGCCATGTGTGTTTTGGTGAAGTCTAGGCGCGTGAGATAAGGGACCTGTGCGTTAGACAGGGGTGAGCCTAGTCGCCTGCAAACGTCAGATGGCAATTTAGGTGAGCTAGGCAGTAAACATGAAATAAATGGTGTATGCGACGCGTGCCAGGCTATTCGATCCTCTAGCCGCGCTCCCTGCCCTTCTTCGGATTTTCTTTACAGGAAATGTATTTTTGTTTTTAATCATTTGTTCCTGGGCATTGAACAGCATTTTGCCATCAATACCCCTTTTTACTAATGTGAATCGATCCTAAAAGCTTTTCCTAACATTTGTAGGTGCCAGGTGGACTGAAGCCGTTTTCGCGGATTGCTTTCGTTAACGTCAAGAACTTATGCGTCGTTCAAAAGCCATGACTCGTAAAATCCTTTTGATGATGATGCGAGAACACCATCCTGCCTGGCGTGGTAAAATCCTTATCTAACGCGATTATGGCTCACTTGACTGACAGCGGTCACTGGGTAGACTTCAACCAAGCGTTCCGAGTCATTTATAAAGTGCCGACGAAACATTCCAAGTCCCTGCGTCAGCGGATACTTGCGACGGCAGATGCGGTTACCATACGGTTAACCAACCTGATTTTGTCCGCGCATCAGGCGCTTATATAGGCACTATGGCTCTCTTGTCCGAAGACGAACTCAGTATGCGTCTTCACATCTCCTACCACGTCGCTTTACAGCGACGAGGCTGCGATATTAACTAATTGTCAGACTCCTTCCCCCCCCTTCACTCCTCTAGGATTCCTTGATAGGACTAGAATCTGACCCCTTGATCTCTGAACAGCCCCCCCCCCTTACTTTCTGTTAATCGGATGCTTAAACTTTTGTCATTTTACCCTCCCTTATATTATCGTAATTGCTTGATGGTGAATAATCGAAAACATTGGTTTGCTAAACTTTAAAATTGTTCATTTGAAGAGAACTCACCGAAGTTCAGTTGTTTTCATTCCAGACAGGGAAGATAGCGGGGTTGCTGGCTGCAGATGGACACCTGTCCTACTGCTTGTTTGGTCAGGAGGAGGGACAGTTTGAAATTGGTAGCCAAGAGCAGCCCAATATCGCCGCGACTCGCCTAGTGCATCCCCTTCCGATTGGCCACCAATCATTGGCAGTACGTTGTACTCCTGTTTTTGGAAGTCAATTGCCGACGTTGAGTATGGATTCACAGCACCAACCGTATTTGTTTCCACGGCAGCTACGCCGTCGGACAGTTTGATTTCTGCTGGCTGTAAGGGGTCCTCAGCAGTCGAAGTAGTTTTCTCCGGCTCGTCCACATGTGAATGCTGACGTGCAGTGTTTTGCTCCTTTTCCCTCTCTTGAAAAGGATAATAAGATAAGACAGCCAGAGTTCAAACCAACGAGTAAAGAGATCTTATTTTAGTATCAGAGCGCTCTGCTTCGTTTCCGTCTCCCTGTAAATTTTTTTTCAAACGCAATCTCCCTCAAGGTGATAGCCGACTTCTATCCACATTTATACGAATTATTATCCCAATGATGAACAAGTACGGCGTTGAACACGCCTCTAAAATTAGTTTACCGATGAACCTACCGCTGGAACGGGATTTTAGTTGTCATATGGGGAAAAAACAGGTCATCATGAGAGATGCGCGAACCTAGGTTAATCAAACCGATAAAAAGTGAGCGTATGCATCCAATTAGGCAAATAAGGTAGTTATAACTACTTTGCAGTCACATTAATGGGCTATATTAGTGGAGACTTGCTTCTCTATGCTGTATGGTCGAGATATATAATAAAGTATTAGGGGGGTTTGGCAGATTTGAATAATTCAGTTGAAGCAATTATGAAAAATACGAGGCCTCGGTTGGAGTCGAACCCACACAGCAATGGGTAAATCGACCCAAGTGTGATTAAATTCACAGCGCACGGTGAGCCTCGTAGCTCAATGGTAGATTGTTGGCTGCGATTGGGTCAACCGAATTATTCAAATCTGCCAAACA